GGGGAATCAGCTGTGACTTATGCAACAAAGACAACTCATGGGGCAAAGACAATGTTAAAATAAAGTCCCAGCATTCCTTCAAGCAATGCATGTCACGTTTCATGACATGGTTTTGGACTAAGAGCATTATCACATGTTGAGATATGAAAGAGTTGCAGCTGCTCTTGAGATTATTTTCTACCAAATATAATTAATACCAACGTTTTAAACCCAGATTTCACACAGTCTGTCAGCTCTCAGAGTATCATATGGTTGAGAACAGTTTCAGCAACAATTACACCACATTATAGGTCAACATCTGTGAAATTGGCTGTGGTGGCCATTTATGTGTTTCCTAAAATTGATTACTTGTGGCAGCCATCTTGAACTGGACTGACCCCAGAAGTTAATCAGCTGCACATGTTAACCCAGGGATGACTTTTTGTAAGTTTCGTTAAGGCCCTGTATAAACAACATATTTTTTGAGTAAAGCCGCAGCTTTTTTGCTGCAGTTTGGCCATTGTTAATGTTTTCCTCAGTACTTCAGGCATGAAATCACACATGCAGCGGCTGCAGCCAATAGTTTTTCTGCACTAACAACAGTTACAATAAACAGCAGAAGGCAGTGCGTTTTGGTGCTACTCATCTTTTTTCAGCATGTAGGAACAAACATATTCAAACTTTGAAGGAATGTTCCTGTATTCACCTAACTATGATCATGTAGACACTATGTGTGATGCATACAGCTGAACTTGTCAGGGTTGCCAGATAAAAACAAATGTTTATTTTTTTATTTTTATCCCTCCTTTACTGTGTATATGTTCAAACACAACACACACCTCATCTTACAACACTCTCGCTCAGCACATGACAGTTTGTGTCAAAATGCAAGCATTTTAAAGTGACATTAGTTCATAATTTCTTATCTGGCAACCATGCCTGGTATGGAAACCATAGCATTTTCATGTAAACCCACTCTATTTTTGTATATTCCTCCCAGTAAACGTTGGGAAAAAAAACCTTCCAGAGGTCATTCTCGCGTAAACAGGGCTAAAATCCACTCAGTAATTCATGACATATTTTGCTAACAGTATGGACAGACACATGCAAACACATGATCGCCCTGTCTTCTTCAGCGGCAGGTGATAAAGAGATTCAGGAAAGAAGCAAAAGTCACATTTCTGCAATTATTCAACTGGCCTCTGTCTCATCAATCCTGTATACATTCTCATCTTTGTGACTGTTGCTAACATGAAGAATAACAGATTAAAAGATTATTTGCAGCTGAATAAAACAAGTAAGTTTAAGTATACAGGACGGAGTATACATTAGAACACATACATATTTTCTTGTCTACTTTCAAAGGTTTTTAAAAAAGCTAGTAAATAAGTGTAACAAACAGTTGGTACAGTTAATCTTAAGCACATTTTAGATGTCTCATTTTCTCATCAGAAAGGCTAAAAACACTGATATATACGTATATATATATATATATATACTCTTTTCTTTAAAAACTGATAATCAGCACAGACCCAGTGGACCTCATTAGCAGCTTCAGATCGTGAGTTTCATTTTCTGACCATCAGAAGAGGCTTACAAGCTGCCTCATTTGGCTTTCTGCTGAAATCTCTTGGACTCAAACTCTCTGACTGACCGTGTGAGTAAATAAAATAAAATTTAATTAAAAAACAGTCCACGTGAATGAAACACTGAGACTTTTTAAGAAGAAAATTCAGAGTTGTTATATACAACACTTTAAAGCAACAAACAAAACTTTGAAAATAATCCATAATTGATTATGTTTTAAATTATTTTAGTAGCATTTAAGCAAGCTAAGCTTTTAATTATTTAGAAGCTATGCTTCATTTTACCGGAGCATCAAAGGATCTCTCCCGAGATGACAGAATTATTTATGTGCTTTGCAGCTCTGTGTCTGAGAGAATCTGATGTGGTTATGTAAGACCAGGCTGCTGTCTGACATCACCCTGAAGCCCTCGCAGAAATTTGAGAACATATTTTGGCAAACAGGCCTTTTTTTGTCTTTATTTTCCCAGTTGGATCCACTGAAGGATGCCACTGGTGCTTTAATGTTTAAGACTTCTGCTCTTATCACCACAATTTGTGCTCTGGTAAGATGCTTACTATTTGACAGGACATGACTTCAGATGCGACCAGGCTATCCTACAGGCCTGCACAGACCTGGCGTGGAGGAAAAATGGTGTCTCCATCCTCTTCGGTCCCCGCTGGGACAGCTTCGATGAAGAGACAAAAAACGTAGGTGAGGGACGAGGTGAGGCAAATCAAAGGAGCGAGAGGAGGAGCTCCTCCTCGACTGCAGCAGAAGAATGGGTGAGTGGAGGAACAAGGGGAGGGGAAAGCTGAGATGAGGAGCAGCAAGGAAGCTGGATGGAAAGAGAGATAGAGACCAGGAGAAGGAGGAGGCAGCTGCTCACTGCGGAGATGTTCATTGATAAAATAGCAGCACAGCAACTGGACACATCATCCCCTCCTCATCATGCACCCACACACACTTCCTGACTCATTCACAGCTGTTGTGCCTCTGGACACACACTTTAATCACAGCGGCATGCTCTCATCCAACAACAGCCTCATCACTCTCTTTCCCCACTCTTTTTCTTGTCTCTTCGGCTGGTTTTGGGAATGAAGCTGCAACCCAGATAGAGGACACCTGGAACTGAGGAGAGGACTTCTGGTCTGGGAGCAGGCTCCTCAGGATTCGTTTACGATCATCTGAAAACAGTAAAAAGCTGCAGTTAGTCCAGCGGAGCCGGTCAGCGTAACGGCATAAAGGTACATCAGGAGGCAGGCGTGAGGGGGGCTTCTCTGCATGCTTTGATGGACGAACTCCTACTTGTGCTTGAACTCCACAGCCCTCACAGTTTAGAGATGCTTCAAAACATCTGAGGTTCCTGTAAACAAAGCAACAGGAGCTCTTCCTCACTCCTCACCTCCCCGCCTTCTCCTTCTTTTTTTATCTCCATCCAGAAACATTGCTGTCCCATTAATCCCACTGTAATCGCAGCATCCTGCCTCCCTCCCTACACATATTTTTTGGTCCATATGCCTCCCCCTCCTCCTCCTGCCTCCACACATTTTCTGTCCCGCTCTCGTCCGTGCAGCATCTTTTTCCTCCCGCCGCCCCCCATCTTCATGCCTTAAACAAAAAACACTCTTTGCGTCTCTTGCCACAGTCTGTCCGTCATCCTGGGATCTACGGAGACAAGCGGCGTGCCGGTGACGGCCATGAAGCTTGTGAACGGGGGAGGAGGAGTGGGAGGAGGAGGAGGAGAGAAGACAGCCTTCTCCTTTAAGAAGTGTTCGGCCTTTCAGTTCGTGAAGAGGAAGGTGAGTTGGGGCAACAGATGCATGTTTTCAATCACTTAGGATGGTCACATCTGTGAACATGCACCAATATGATGGGATAGTGCATGTGTGTGTGTGTGTGTGTGGGGGGGGCTCCATAACAGTGTTACTTAACAAGTGTGGGAATGATGACATAACGGTCCACTGGAGGTCCAGTGGTTTGGATTGTCGTGCTGCAGTGTTGTCCCACCGCCTGCTGCCAAAGACAAAAAGCCAATGACGTTTTTTCCTGTGTCTGTGTGTGTTTGATGTCTGTTAGCATAACATCTCATAAACCACTGGACAGTCTTTTTAGCAAAACTCCCAGGAAGTATTTACAGGATTCAGCTCATTAACTTTTTGAGTAAAGACTCAAGATGGCTGCTATGGCTAGTTGATGTTAATCAACAGAGAAATGGAAAGATGGCGGCCATGCAACTCACTGAGCTCCATCTGTACCCGTTTATGCGTATCTATAATTTAGTGTAAACGTATATTTAAATATTATAATAAATGTTTGCAGTGGGCTGCCCACTAGCAGTTGTTTTATCTTGGAAATAAGTTAATTTGGGACAAACATTATCTAAATCAAGTGTCATCGTTACCCAACCTTTTTTTTTTTTTTTTTAGGTTTAAGCAGTTGTAATATTTTCCCCGACCAATAAACAAAACTCCCAAATACCCAAAATATTACAAAATGTTTATGGAATTTAAACATATGCAGCATAGATTGAATATTTTCTTTTTCATGTATTTTATTATGATTCTATGTGAATGTACAGCAGAGCAGTTTCGGCCATGGCAAAGCTTCCGAATCAGTGCAAAGGTTTAGTTCATGCTACGAGTACTCAAAATCAGCTGATTTACGAGCTAAACCGTTAGATGGGGGTGATTTGTGAGAATCTAGGACTCGCCATTATGTTGGGATCAACCTTGAGGTAGGCTCATAACTAGAGATGCACCGATCCACTTTTTTTCACTTCTGATCCGATATCAATATCTGCAGTTTTGTATCAGTCGATATCGATCCGATACCGATCTGATACAGAAAAATAGTGCTGAATTAACAAAAATGTCTAAATCATGTCATCAGGACTCATTTCTGAAACAGGTCCAGATGACATGATTTTGCCATTTTTGTTGTCTACCTGGATGTTTGAGCTTACAAACCCAGTGCTGAATTAACTTAAAACATTTGTTTTGTTAAACGCAAACATGAATGTACTGAATTACAAATTTATTGAAAACTCTGCACCATAACAGCACACTTAAACACAAGAAGAGCTTCGCAAGCTTGGTCAAACATGTAAAAACAACACAACTTTAATTTGTTCAGTCAGTGCGCTAGCACGTGACGTCACTCAGAGCACAAAGCAAAGAATTAGAGTGAATAGATCTGCCCAGTCATGAATCGGTCACATTGTCACCGATACTCGATCCAGAAGTTGTTGTTTTTTTGTTTGTTTCGGTACCGATACCGATATTGGTATCTGATCTGTGCATCTCTACTCATAACATGGATCGGTGGAGTGAGATACCCATAAATCTGGCCATTTTGGACCAGAAAATTTCCATCAGGACTCAAGGTTGACAAGAAAAATCAGTCTGCCTGAAGAAAAATCAAAAATTGTGGCTTATCTGAATCTGACTCCCCCGTTTGGTCTCTGATACGAGCCGACTGTCAAATTTCTCCTGGGACATGGGTAACTAGGGACAAAGCTCCGTCTATCACACCCCGTCCCCCCGCCCACAAGAACTTCTGTGCAGGCTTATCAGAACTGTTGGCTGAACAACAACATCAGGACTATGGCCTATCTGAAAGTGCTCATGGACAAATCTCACTGTCTTGACGTTAAATGCGTATGTAATCATGTTTATAAATGTGCTTGCTGGTAGAGTTTTTTTGATGTCTCAAATCGTGTCCTGATAGACAAGATGCGAAGAGATCTTTTTGTAATACCACTATCCACACTCATGGCTCTTACCTTTTTCCATCTAAAAGTATTCTGATGAAGAATAAGGGGCCGCAATATTATATCAGCAGCAACGTGCACTCCGCCCATCTTTCGGGCGACTCTATGAACATAATTTCACTGTATTCCGGTACAATAATAATAAAGCTTATTCTGATTCTGACATACATGTCCTAAGGCATATATCAGTGGATGCTGCAGCACCCTTCGCACCCCAACTTCCCATGGCCCACAGAACTGAGTCTGGCTCTGCTGAATATCAGCGCTCACTCGCTGGCTGCATCTGTCGATCAGCTTTGCTTTTTCCGTTGTTGCGTCACAATCGTTAAACTCTTTGATGGAAAACTGTCAAAGTCGAGTTTTAGTAAAGAGCTGGATCATGGATCGCTTTTCAACGACTGGTTTTAACAACGCTCAACAAAAACAGTAAGATTTGTGAGATATGACACTGCTTTAAATGGGCACTGATTTGATGGTTTTTATTTCAAAAAACAAACAAAAAGAATAGTTTTTGTTTTTCATACCAGAGTATATTAATGGTGCAGCGAATCTATTTTCAGTGTAAACACAGGGCTGTGCTCTGTAACAGATTAATCACATTTAGTTAAACACAAACAGGTTTCGATGATACAAAAGAGAAACAAACATGGCAACCATTTTATTTTGGTTATATAACCAATAATGACTAAAATAACATAACTGAAATGTCTTCCTATTAGGGATTCTGTATTTTTGGCTGCTTATTGTTTTGCTCTTGCAGCTTGTCTCTAAAATACTCTTAATTAAAGACTCAGTGTGTCATTTTCTGGTAACAGCACAAACAAAAATCTGCTTTCAAAAGCCTTTTTTGTGGTGGCGCTGAAAGACTAAATGAAAATCGTCTCCAGCTGCATTAAGATGACAAAAAGCACATAAATAATGCTCCTCAAAAACCTGCTTACACCTCATTATACTGCAAGAATATTCTGTATTTCAAGGATTTAGCATTGACTTTGTTAAAATATTTTGCTGTAATATAGCTTTTTTCCACTCCCAGTTGCTCCTAAAAATCTTTTAAAAGAAAAAAAAACAAATTAATTCTGTTAAAATTTGCTCTGTCTACTTTTTTTTTTTTTGGCTTAGTGTTTCCTATGTGAGCTAAAGAGTATGTCTCATTTAATTAAGCTGCTTGCTAAAAATGTACTAATAGCATCTTGTAAATACTTGAAAAATAAGAGCTAGAGCAAAAAAACTAGTTTGTTGTTGATGAAGGTTTAATGATTTTAGTTGGAGATTTTGATTTAAATGTAAATGCTTTTGAACCAAAACATTTAGTCAAATGTAACAACATGCTGCAGTGTTAGTGACCGAAGATGTAAATGAACACAGCATTAGTCATGGCCAGAGGTTTGTGATTGTACTGCAGGCTGTAATTATGTGAAGCTTGACAAACAGCTGAACTTCGGCTTTTCCTCACTCTGAATAATTTACAGCTGATTTCCATGAGATCAAACAGGACACAGAACAACATGACTGCAGGCGAAGACAGGAAGAGAAAGGCTGATGGAGCCTGTAGAACTCAGAGCGTCTCCCGATAAGTTCTGATCCGAAGAGACGGTTCTGTTTCATTTTACGGAGAAGTTCAACAATTACTGAAGCCAGAAAATAATACAAATAAATAATAAGTAAAGTGCTATGTGTTGTCATCACTGTATGTTCCCATACAAAGAAGAAACTGACTCTGTATTTAGCCCATTGCACCTGGGATGCACCTGGGATGCACCCAGGTGGAGCGGCGGGCAGCGATGTAGGTGCCTGGGGAGGAATTTGGGATAAGGTGTCCTGCTCAGAGACACCACGAGATGTGCAATGACGGGGGATTGAACCCAGGACCTTCAGGTCCTGATTCAGCTGCCCCATAAAATAAGTTTGTTTTCCAGAGTTGAGAGTTGGTTGGGTTGAGTTGAGTGCAAATGTCCACGATTTAATGTAATGTTTTTAAATAATTATTGATTTATAATCCATCCATCCATTCATCCATCCATCCATCATCCATTCATCATCCATATATCCATCTTCCATCCATACATCCATCCATCCCTCAATCATCTATCATCCATCCATCCATCATCCATCTTTCATCCATCCATCCATTATTCATCATCTATCTATCATCCATTCATCACCCATCCTTCCATACATATTCCTTCCATCCATCCATCCATCCATCCATCCATCCATCCATCCATCCATCATCCATTCATCATTCATCATCCATTTTTCCATCTTCCATCCATCCATCCATCCATCCATCCCTCAATCATCTATCATCCATCAATCCATCTTTCATCCATCCATCCATCCATCAATTATTCATCATCTATCTATCATCCATTCATCACCCATCATTCCATCCATATTCCATCCATCCATCCATCCATTATTCATCCATCCATCATCCAATCATCATCTATCCATCCATCCCTCATTCATACATCATCCATCCATCCATCTATCTAACCATTCATCATCCATCCATCCATTATTCATGCATCCCTCATTCATCAACCATCCATCCATCCAGCACCCATCATCCATCCATCCATCAATCATCTATTCATCCATCCATCCATCTATCATCTATCCATCTATCCATTTGTCCATCCATCCATTCATATATGCACACACACGTACGCATGCACGCACTCCATCCTTTTAGGATGAAAAAGTTTACTACCTTTTAAATCTTCCATCCACCCATGAGCCTAATCAGAAAAACAACCTGCTGCTCCTCAGGTTTTGTTCTTCTCTCTAGTTGTATCTAAATAACCCCAGTGAGATCATGAACAGAGCATAAGTCCAGGCGGGGGATCAATAGTTTATGAATCCAAAAACAAAACAATGGAAGGAAAGATAAAGTCAATGTCACAGCGCAAATATGTCTGTTGTTTATCATGTTATGAACAGCAACAAACATACATTCAGATAATGAAACATGCTGCTTCATGGACAGCATTGTCTAAGTTAGTAAAAACAATCAGTAAAGATGGCTGACAGGTTTTCTGTTCACCTGTAATAAAGTGGCTTTGGATGACACCTGGGATAAAATAATGTCAACGTTGTGTCAGACATGTTTTTATTAATTCACACTGACTCTTCTGGAGCTTTGTGTCTGATGGTAAATATCAAAGACAAAAAGAAAACCAGTAAGATTTATCATCAATCTTCTGTTCATCTCAGGCAGAATCAGTACATGATGCACTGATTTGACATCAGATGTGTGAGCAGGACCAAGATGCTGCTCCTACAGTGACATGCTTGTGTTTTTCCAGAAGCAGCATGTCGTGACATGCTGTCCAACTATCCTTGACTTGAGTTTTAAATATCAGCATATTTATGTGTGTGTGTGTTTGTGAGTGCGTGAAATTGAGCTTGCGTCGACCCACGGTCCTGTGGTGTGTGTTTACTAACTGCTCGACATGCGCAGCAGGATGAGCTTGCTGAGCCTCGTATGAAAAATTATTCCCCCTCTACTTCCTGCATGTCAATCTCCTGTTTTACCGTGCGCTTGTTTCCTTTTCCACTTTCTCCATGATGTCATTCCTACAAAAATACACACCTGCATGCAAACACTCACCCACTCGCCTGTCACTGCAGTGGTGTTGCGTGCACCGTGCATTGTTCAGCTTGCCCCAACTTGTGGAAAATGCCCACAAACTTGCCCTGTTGACAAGAAATGGCTTCACATTCGCCAGTATCACAAACACGGCAGCACTTTATTTCTGATAATCCCTCACATCAGCATCCTGTGCGAGTGTGGTGGAACAGAGATGCGACCTGTGACACCTGTCAGTGTGTTTGTGTGACCCTCTTGAACTAACATGCAGTCTGGAACAATGTGACAAACTGCTCCGTCCTTGATTAAACACTGCAGCTGGCAAGGCTGACACTTTGTGTGCGCTGTGCAGTAATTCTTAAAAAACAAACAAAACAAAAAAAAACACAGGACCTGAGGTGAAGAGAAGTAAAAGTTAAAATGATTCAGGTTTTGTCCTCAAAGTCATGATCACCTATTTTTGGCACAGGTTCGAAGATGGATGAGGAACCCCAAGGTGAGCGTAGAGAAAGGTCACGGGAATGGCCTCCTTTACCCTTGTCCAAAGTGTCCGCTGGCTGAAGATCTGTGGTACACACACTTCCCCTCGACTTATGGCTGCTGTCACTACTCGGGCCTACAGGGAGGCCAGTACTACCATCAGGAACCATGCTCGCCTTGTGTCACCAGCGGACAAACCGACGGGCATGAGAAAGGCAAAGGCTGCAAGGTAAGAGGATAAGCAAACAGTGGATGTTGTGTCTGTGTGTGCTCATGGCCCCCTTTGTGTCACAACTCATTCATGATGTCACTCTGACACAAAATCAATCCACTTCTGAATGCTGTTCGTTAATGATCTTTTTGTATAATTTCAAGTCGTAATTGTTTTTTTTTGTTTTTATCTTTCAAACTTTTTAAAGTTTTCTTCTGCTCATTGCTGATGAAGCTTGTAGTTCTGTTCAGATTTCAGTGTCAATCTGAAACAGTCAACTGCAAAATCCTCTTGCATCATCTACAGTCAAGGGTTGATATTACGAAGCTGGTTCTGAGATCATTACCCTCATATCTCAAACTGAACCTTTGCCATCACTCATCCTCAAAGGCTCAGCTGAATGTTGGTGTACCTCAGGGGTCATTCTTTGGCACCCCCTTCTAGTCTACATTTAAATGCTTTTTCTTGGCCAATTTGTTGGGAATCACTGCACTCTGTGTCATTTCGTTGCATGTTCGCTGCTAAAAGATCAAACTGGTTGATAGTGCTGCTGGCAGCAGCCACTGCAGAGGTGAACTCTTCTTATTTTGGCTTTCTGGCTTTTTTACCACTTTAACTAGTGATATGTGACTTTTCTGTACTGCTGATTATCCATGCTGCTGATCTCATACTGCTGACTATCTCATGTTGCTGTATTCATTCATATCCATCTACTCACCACAGAATCATGTTTGGGTTGCTGTTTAATATACTGTATTATTCTACATTATAGTGTTTAGCGTAAATCTTAGATCTTTTAGTGCATTGTTTAATATTAGTTTAGTGTATATCTTAGTGTATATCTTAGATATTTATATACAGTATTGCTTCTTTTTATACTTTATATTTTTGCTATTTTTGGGTGTAACTGGGACCTTGAGTACACAGTTTTGTTCCATCTCATGTACCACATGTGATGTGAATGACAATAAAGATATTTGAACTTTTCCCTCTTCAGGGGTCACCACAGTGAGTTGTCCTCCTCCATCTCACTCTGTCCTCTACATCCTCTGTCCTCACTCCAACTACCTCCATGTCCTCTCTAACTGCATCCATATATCTCCTCTTTGTCTTTTTCCTGGCTGCTGCATTTCTGTCCCTCCTCTGGACATGTCCAAACCATCTCAGTCTGGCCTCTAACTTTATCTCCCAGTTGTTCAACCTGTGCTGATGATCTCATTCGTAATCTTATCCATCCTTGTCATCCTTGCCACTGCAGAGGTGAACATTCTGCACAAAATGAACACTAAAAGTAAACAAAAACCCAAACTGCAGCTGTGCAAAAACTGAACAGGTACAAGAATTTTAATGCAATTTTGATCATTCTAAGTTTGGCTGAGGTCTATAAAAAGGAGAACTTTAACAGAGAAGGCTTGATTTCCCTTTTTCCACAAACAGTGAGCAGGAAAAGGTTAGCATGCTGTCTGCGGAGCTTAGTGTCTGTTTACTGTAATTCAGTAAGTCTGTGATGGCAAGGCCAGTTAGGTTTTCAATGTAAGAAACAAGATTTTAAAATCAATACTAAAATTTATTATGATGCTGTGCAGGGAAGAAAGCCCAGGGAGAAACATTGTTGTACTTTTAGTCTCGCCAAAAGATCTAGTGGTTGTTTCAGAACCAACTGAAGGTGACAGAGGCAGCCTCAGCTATTACCTGCAGAAAGTACCTTACAGTTGGCAAATACAGGCACAGTGGGTGATGATGTAATCATCTGTGTGTGTTTGTGTGTCTCTCTGTTAGAAAAATATAGCATGAACTGCCGAGTTGTAATAAAACTCAAAATGGATAGTTAAATATTTACAAATGGTTAAATTTTGGAGTCAACTTGACCTTAGCAAACACAAAAAAAGACTAACTCAGTCAGTTCAACAGGCGTGGAGCTAAAATCTGTTGTGGTAGTAGCTGAGAGTGATCCAACAGAGCCTGGGTTTAAAACTACGACATGTGACATGCATTCCTTCAGGGAATGTTATTTTCATTAAAGTTTGTTTTGCTCCTGTTTTAAAGAGTGTAACCCTCCTGCTGCCGTTGGATCCAAATTAACCACAATACCTCAGTTTTAAAGCTGAGGCCTTATACGTCATTTTGACCGAAGGGCAGCAGGGGGCTTAAATTCAACCAGTTGTTGTGACTAGGCCTGTCGCAATAAACAATAAATCAATTAATCACATGATAAATGAAAATTATGGACCTCATTTTCATTTATCGGCTTTATCGTTTCTTCATGTCTCTTTCTACTGAAGACACTGGATGATAAAAAGCTCAATTCTGGTGCTCTTGACTGAACCCTTCCTTTCTCTCTCTTTACTCTTTAAAATCCATTTTAACCGTCCAAAATTGCGTTTATGGGTCGTTAAAAGCAGCTAAGCTGAGAAGCTACGCTACGAGCTAAGCTAACAGGCTGACCTCGGGGAAAAAACCTTCGTCTTGTCGAAGCTTCAAAATTCACGGTTGAAACCAGTGCCTTCGTGTAGAAAGTTGTTTTTCTCTGCAAAAAAAAAAAAAAAAAGCTGAGAACTTGTTTACAGATTTTTTTTTTTATATTAAAAGCTTTGTGTGAAAAATGCTATGCTAAAGAGCTCAATCTGCATCGAGCGCCCACCATTTTGAGAACGGCAAAAAAGGAAGGAGAGACAGCCCATGTCACGTCATGGGGCCTCCCTCCCATTTTTCTTAAAGAGACGCGCTGCTCACTCCCTCACTATCCATCCTTCAGCTCAAACAGTCTTATACTGCCATCCAGTGGTCAAACAATACTACACACAAAAATTAACCAACATTTCTTCTTCAACTTGACAATTACTAATTTTTTTTTTTTTTTTTTTTCATTTAGCCTTTATTTATCCAGGTAGTCTCATTGAGCCACGAGAACTCATTTTCAAGAGAGACCTGTTTAGGGAGCACATGGTGGGGTTAAGGGCCTTGCTCATGGGCCCAGAGTGGGGCGAATGAGGGTGGGGGCGTTTCACCTACCCCACCCACAATTTTTGATGTTGTCGGGGCCGGGGCGTGAACCGGCGATCTTCGGATCACAAGCCCACCTCTCTAACCTCTAATTATTGTCAAATTTCAAATAATATCGTTTATCGGAATAATTTCTGAGACAATTAATCGCCCAGCAAAATTTATTATCGTGACAGGTCTAGTCATGCCATTCACGCAGTGTGATTTGTGTTTCTGCTAATCATCTTACAGTTATGTCTATATTTTTTTTTTCTGTCCATTCATTTTTCAGAGGGAGTGGCAGCCCACTCACCTGCTGCATTCAGCTCCCTAATCTGACTCTTTTTACAGACACAACGGGGATTCTGGGAACTGTTTTGTTTCTCTCTCTTCTGTCTTTAAGCCCCGCCGCAAGCGTTTTTACGTAACATCAACACAGAGGCAACAGCTCAGTGAAGCCTTCTGCTGCCCACGGTTAGTAAGACTTTCTGAAATGACAATAGGAGTCATAAAATCAGCAGATCAAAAATTAAAAAATAAACACCAAGCGTGGTCACAAGTGCAGCTGTCAACAAACATGCATTAATGTTGTCGTTTCAGGCATCCAAAGCAGTCCGAACAGCTGACCCACAGACTTATTGCACCTTTCTGTTGGTCCTCCACTTGTATGTTTGTCCAGGCTCCTGCAGGAGAGGATGAGTCATTGCCATCCTACTGAGGCTATATACCCTCTCATTGTGTAGTGCAGTGAGGAACACTATTGAGGGGTGGAAGGTTAGAAAACAGAACCACATATCAGTTCTCTTTCCTGCAGCTCTTTCCCTTTTTTCCCCACTTCTCTCAAGTTTGAGGGACCCTTCTGCCTCATTGACTCACATCAAACCCACCTCTTGCCCCCAGAATAGATGCAGCAGTGTCACGGATCTGTCTCAGAAGAGACAACCTGTGTGTCTGCAGAAATAATGGGCTGCTGCAACGAGCACTGAACAGGCTGAGTCATTTTTGCGGCAGAGCATGAAAGCCTTTGTGAAGTTGTAAATTTGGTCTTGTTAAATGATTGACAGCTTATAAATCTATCTCAAAAAGCAGCTTAAGTAGATGCCTTGATACAAACTTCCAGCGTGCTGGAAAGCTCCGGTCGAACTCTTGCAGAGCACTGTGCTCGTTCAGCGAACGGAGCAGTAATGAAGATATTTCATGTCAGAGTCTCTGCTCTGTCCTGAAGGAAGCTAACCACCACCACCCACGCCTGGCCTGAATGCAAACAAGGAAGACTTTATTATGAAATGTATCTGCCCAGCTGGTTCAGCCAAGCTAAGAATGACTAAAGAAGGTAGCAAAGATAAAAGAGACACAAGCAGAGTGGAAATCTTGGGGCATTCATTATCAGCTGCTCTTGCCATAAAAGAGCCCGTCTTATTAAACCCAGAACTTGAAGCTTTTGTTCTGTGTGTCCTCCTAATGTGAGAAGAGAAACATTGTTAATCTGCAGCTGATTGTTGCCAGAGGAGCTGCATGAACACTTTTTAGCATCTGCGTTAGTAAAATAGGGATTTACACTAACGTCAAGTACTTTTTCCAATAAAATCCTCCCTGACAGATCTCCCTGCTCCTGCCGTCTCCTCCTAGAAAAGTCATTACAGCATTTTGTTTTTAATTACAAAGAGTCAACATCATTAAAAATGCACGCAGCCGAGCTTAGCCTTGACCCAGCGTTCTTTAGCCCTCACCCCCCTGCTACCTTTAGATGAATCAGTCCGAGACAAACGCAAATATAGACCAAGTTTTATTGTTATATGAAATAGGTGCACTTATTGTTGCATGTTTCTGTGAAGTAGGAAGAATAAATGTTTATTGGAAGGAAAAACAAAGGACAGACCTTGAAAATGGAAAATTTTTAACAATTAATATCTTACCTGTTGTAGACAGCTCTATGAGCAGAAGAAACTGAGTGTAATTGGAATGACAAACTAATGGGTGTGAAATATTATTAGAAATATTTATCTTTTTTTTTTTGGGGGGGGGGGATGTGTGCC